AGGTTTAACAAGCACCAAATAGAGTAGCACTATCAAATTCCATGTCTCACATATAATATTCTTGTTAATGCAAACCAAAACTGGATTTGCCTCTCTTCTTCCTTTGGTGACTGCATGAATGGCTGATTCATTTGTCCGTGATTCACCATGCCCCTCAGGTTCTTCTTGACACTGTCATAGTTTTATCAAGACTACAGGGCTAGGGACAGAAGTTACACATAAACCAGTTTAAGTGATCAGAAACTAGTTTAAACCTGTACCAGAACATAAGTTCAGTGCATATAAACCAGTTTAAAAATGGCCAAAACTGGTTTAAGATAAACCTGGTCGAATGTAGTATCAGACTTAACTGATTTAGGTCAAACCAGTTTATGAAACTGCTGTCCTAGATACCTTCCTGATTCAAGTTAAATCAGTCTCCCAGCAAGCTTTTCAGCCCTGGGCTGGGCTGGGCTGGGCTGTCTGCTCCAGAGAGCAGGGGTAGTCCCGCCCCTCTGCTCTAGCTGGAGCAGCAAGGGCTGGGCTCACTGGCCAGCTCCTGGCCCCCCAGGCAAAACCTGGCTGAGGGCTGGGGCCAGGGAATGGGGTTAAATTCTGAGTTAAACCCTGAGTGTAGAGTTGCCCTGCCCTGCTAGCTTACTTAGTGCTGACTGTGACTGTGGACTACAAATCCAGGAGGCACCTAGAAGCAGGAAGAGGACGTGATGAGCAACCCTTCAGAGTCCTGCTGCTGTGAGTGTGGAATGCAAATCCCAGAGACCTCATGGGCAGCTGGAAGAGGAAACAAACACACAGCTCATGCTGGCTTTACTGTCCCCAGCTTCTGACTTGAGCCACATTTCCTGAATCACTAGTAAATGTCTGTTCATTTGATTATTGGTTCAATCTTTGCAGCTTAGACTAACCTGCAAAGATTGAATCAAATCAGCCTTGGGCTTTGTGACTGACTGTACTTAGCCCTGGAGTTTTCCATTGTGCATTAAAATTTACTAGGACCCTTGGCAGGAATATATCCAGGCAGAATATCTTTATTTGATACCCCTGCAGGAGAAACCAAAAAGGTTCTCCAATTAAATTACTGGGACTAAAATAAAGCAAGAGGCTGTATATATGCCAACTGTGCAGATACTTAAAGTTCCATCTCATCAGGTAAAATGGTTCTAGCTACAAACAAAGCCACATTTATCCTGGGATTCTAAAAAAAAAAGTGGATACTAGATACTGTCTGACAAGACTATCCATCACACAACTTTGATACAAGTACAAATTATTCTGTTCAGCTCATACAGTATTCTCCAGTTCTGCAGCTCCATTGTATTTCTATGTCCAAGATGAAATTCACTCAGAAGCAGAGAACCTTTACAAGGTCCTGGGCAAAACTTGAGCTCTAGTGAACTATTAAATGGATCATAGGCGACACGTAGGGGGGCACATGTGCCCCCGAGAGCAAGCACTCTTAGCTTAAGCAACGGGCTGGGGAGCAGGTGGAGCACTGGTGTCCCTCCTCCCACCAAGAAGTGCCACGGAGGACCGCTGCAGCCACTGACGGTCCCCATTCAGCCTGCTGTCACCACCTACATCAGCGCAGCTGCCTGCAGGCAGTCCCTACTTGCCACCACCATGCCCTTGCCACCAACACTGCCACTGCTGCCTGCGGGCGGTTGCTGTGCCCCCTCAGCCTCTGGAGGCACACATCGCCTATGAAGTGGATTGTGCAGAAGTCACCCAATGTGCTCGCTCTGTCTTTATGTTGGTATGATATCCAAAACCTTACGTTAGGAATACAACAGGAAGTCATGATTTGTCAGGTCCCAGGTGAGCAGTAGCAGAGCATCACTGCAGCCACAAAACCTGCTCAGAGATTTGGAGGTGAGAATTCCATAGTCTCTTACTGCCCGAGTTTCTTGCATTAAGCCTATTTAACCTGACTTGAGTAGGAGAACATGAATTTCATGCTCATTATACAAATAAGGGACATAGGCTAAAAAGGAAGATATAAGGCAATAACTGAAATTCCATACATCCTACCTACTCAAAACCACACTGAATGATTTTCTATTTGGATGCTCCCAACTAAAATTACCCTCCCAAAAAACTGCATCCTTATGTACAGGCACTAAAGCAGGACATCCTGGACAGGAAACTAGAGTAATACTTGATGTGATAGGTCACAAGCTAATGCCTCAGTGATTTTTCTAGTAGGAAAATCTACAAAAATTTCTATTTCAGTCTGTATTTGAATCTCAGTTCTGTAGTTTTGTTGTCAGCCTCACCTTCAACATCAAAAATACATCAGCAATATTTTTGTAATATAAAGAATACATCTACTTTTTAGACCACTGACCAACCACATCAGCAGTATAACACTGATTTATTATTTAGATATTTTAGTTCCATATACATGACTTTGTTTCAAGGGAGGTGCCTCATTTGTATGTGCCATGGAGATGACTCAAGCATTGTTTCCTTGGAGGCCTCCCATTACAGAGAGCATTTTTTATGGAAAACATGGTTTGTTTAAAACACATAAAAATATCACTGAGTCTTATTAAAGGAGGGATAGTATGTACATGTACCTTTAAATAATGGTAATGGTAGTTGTCCATGATTAATATGAAGATTTTCCATTTTCATAGATTTCATAGACATGAGGGCTGGAAGGGACTTGGGAAGATCACAGAGTCCAGCCCCCTGCCCCAGGGGCAGGAAGTCAGCAGGGGTCATAGGATCCCAGCAAGATAAACATGCAAATGTCTCTTGAAGGTGTTCAAAGTAGGTGCTTGAACGACCTTCAGCGTCAGTCTATTCCAAACCTTGGAGGCTCAGACAGTAAAGAAGTTCTTACTTATGTCCAGCCTGAAACGGTCATGGAGGAGTTTGTGACCATTCAATCTTGTCATTCCTTGGAGCGCTCTGGTGAACAGGCGTTCCCCCAGATCCTGGTGAGCACCCCTGATAAACTTATAGGTGGCCACCAGATTCTCCCTGATCCTCATTTTTCCAGGCTGAATAGTCCCATACCTCTCAGCCTCTCATCATAAGGTTTTCCTGACCTCTGATCATGCGCATGGCTCTCCTCTGGACTCTCTCAAGCTTCTCCACATCCTTTTTGAATTGTGGAGCCCAAAGCTGGACACAGTACTCCAGATGCAGCCTCACCAAGGCCAAGTACAACAGGAGAATGACGTCCTGGGATTTGTTTGAGAAGCATCTATGGATACAAGCTAGTGTTTTGCTGGCTTTACTAGCTGCAGTTGATGGCTCATGTTCATCTTGTGGTCAATCATGACCCCTCAAGTCCCTTTCATCCGTAGTGCTAGCCAACATAGCACTCCGGAGCCTATAAGGATGCTGCAGGTTTTTCTTCCCAAGGTGGAGAACCTT